CTCAATAATTAAGGCCTGCTGGGTGTGAGGTTCAGGGTGAATGGGCTTAACCTCAGTCTGGGGAGGAGAAGAGACTTCTTGAACAGGATGAACCTCGCTTTCATCAAGTTCTCCTTGATGGTGTTTGTGTGGAGAGACTGACTGAGGATGATGAAACTTTTGCATTGAGACAGACTCTTGGGACAGAACTGATTCGGGTGGTTCAGATTTCCTGGATTGAGCTGACTGGTGTGACTGTACTGATGATTGTGATTGCATGGAATGATGTGATTTGCTGCGTTGTCCTTTCATTACAGGGTCTTCTGAATCACTCTGGGTTCCATCTTCATGATGGTGTCCTATTAAGTTTAAAGATATATTTTGTATTATAGCATATATATTTTATAGTTTATATTATGGCTGTCATTCTAAGGCATTAATTTAAAGCAAATAATTCTAAAGAAAATAATGTGATAAAAATTCATCTATAATAAGGAATTCTGCTAAAATCAGGACACAACATCGGGAATACAATTTAGTAGCATGTTCATTATTTTCTGAACATTGCCGCTATATACAGCACTGCTGTTAACAAGCAGAATCACTGAAGAAAAGAGAAACACAAGAACAACAACTGACTTCAGCCACAGCCTTAGATGGAATCAACTGAAATAAAACACATTAAATCTCTCAAGATTTCCATAGAAGATAATTAAACAACTCCACAAACAGCATCACCAGCTTCACACATTACAAAGTTTGACTTTTTTTGTCATGCATCTAAAAATTTCTTATTAAGAATTAACAGAGGTTTAGATGTTAATGTTTATTGAAAAGAATACAATTTGAAGTCACCGTTGTGGAGATAAGCGTTGGCTTTAGTTGGGCTCTTGACCCTTGACTTGTGTACATTAGTTTTTCTCTGATTGATGTAACTGTGTTTACGAAGCATGTTAGTTATGTCAAGAGAAACCAAGAGAAAATGTGATCAAGCTATATTGGTCATTTTTTTGATACTGATGTAGTTGTCATGTATAGCCTGATTCACTGATGTCATCCATGGTGATGTGTAATTTAGTTTATGGTGTTGATCACAACTGCACCTTAAACAAATATGAAGTTAAAAAAACACTTTGCACACCCGTTTAGAACATCTGTACTGTTTAGACACACAGACATCAAGAATCAGCATATGAATCTCAACAATGGTGACGATCATCAGACAGATTCATGTTGCATTGCATTCTGGGTTCACCAATCATAACTCATCCATGGCTCCCAGCATGCATTGCAACATGAATAAATTATACAGCTGCATTTAGTATTTGCTTTTATTTTTGTTGTTTTTTGTTGACTTTTTACTGCCTTGTTTTGTGACGTTCAAAAATCACGTAAAAATGATCAGAATATTTTGTCACCATTGCTGAGATTCACATGCTGATTCTTCATGTCTATGAGTGCCAGAACTTAAACCTCTTAACGAACCATATTTTAAAAAGTGGTTTATAAAGCTTTCTCACATTGCCTCATATCACAGCACTGCATTAATACAGAAATCATAAAAGCACTACAGATAGATAAGATAAAACACAGTCACTCAGACACAGGAAACAATTTTATCATAAGTTTCTTGCCATCACATATGTGCTTTTTAAACACAACTGTAACAGCCAAAGATAAACTTGCATTTAATAAGTCAAGGGTCAAGAAGCAACTAAAGCAAACACTATTCACCAAAACGGTAAGTTGAAAAAAAAATCTAAACCTAAAAAATCTAAAAATTCTCAATAAAGAACTTGTTTTAGATACTCCAGAAATAAAGTCTATCTGGTTAGTAATGCATGAAGCTGGTGATGCTGTTTGTGGAGTTGTTTTATACATATATATTATTAGAACATTATGCATCAATTTGAGTCTCACAGAAAGTGCATTTTTATGGTAGTGCAAGGTGTCTCTTACCTTTGAGAGTCCGAATATGCATCGCCAAGTCACTCTTAGTGCTGTACACATCCTCACAGGGTGGCCGCCTGCACATCATACTGACATCACTCTGCACAAGCCAGTCTGCCACCTTGCTCTCAGCTGATAGAACCTCTGTGGGCGTGGCTACCAGAGAATTACTGGGATGCTGCTTGCTACGCTGACGAGAGGAGAACTTGGTCACATGATCCTTGATTTTAATTTTGCCTGGCATGCAGTCATCAAACTCGATAGTAAAAGAAGCATGACTCTGGACAACTGGAGGTGTACAAATTAGAGAAATATTGGTGTCTTTGGTTGGGATATCGATTAAATCTGTTGTTGGAGACTTGGGTTGCATATTGAACTCCTTTGTTGGAATTTCAAAATAACTGGGCTCTCTGTGGTACGGGTAGGTTGACTTGGCCTGGCCGTCACGGATCTCCTGAACAGTGATGTTAAACTCATCCTCAGCTGTCTGGGCCTCCTTTGTGATGTCTGTCAAGAGACACCAATACCAAACTGTAAATATGGCAAGACAAATATCCATATCGATAACACACAAAAAGTGGCTGTAAGGGAGGACAAGTGCTTACCTGAATGACTCTCACCCGACCTTCTTACTTCATTGTGTGCTTCCTTATTCCCAGAGTCCTCCTCACCCCACCATGATGGCTGGCCATACAATGGTGTTGGCCGAGATACAGATGACTCTGAAGAGGAACAATTACACAGGTAAAACTCAGAAAGAGAGGGTGTATAAGGAATAAAGAGAGATGAAGAGTTGGTTACCATCCAAAGCACAGTTTATTCAACAAGCAATTCTTGAAGTGATCAGAATTTTGGAGCAGATCTTATATCTGTTTACTGTAAAGCAAAATATATAGACTATCCTCATGATTCCAAATATTCAGTATACTGGATGAATTAGTATTATATTTCCACTTTAGAAAATTTGTATTAGAAGTGTTATCCATATGACCATATGATCCATAAGAGAATGACACTCCACAATTCTCTCAGTGTGTAAAAAGTATGTTTTTTGGAAATATATTTCTACCTGAAATAAGTTTTTATTGATACATTTTGTATTATATTATTGACAATAATTCGAATTTTTTTGTCAAGTGGCACATTATACACGTTAGCATAACTACAACAGAAACAACCAAGTGAAAGCTTTTCTAGGAATTAAATACATCACTTTAAATGTATTACTAAATAAGTACTAATTAATTTAGTATTACTAAATTGTTATAATTATAATTATAATAACTAATACTATTTGTTCATCTATTATTATTACTTCCTCATGTCTTTTTTTCCATTTTTAGTTTTCTCCCAAACTATAATTTATAATTGTAACTGATAATATAATTTGTAATAACAAATGACTTGTAGGAACATATTCACTAGTGATTTCAGACTTTCAGACACCACTGTATGTACATGGATTTAATGAGCTTTTCAGCATTTGACTTTCCAGGTTGAGAGGTCCATGAGCTATGTGGTGCATGGTAACAGACTGCTCATTGATGGACATGTCAGTGCAGTGCCAGCAGCTGGACTAAGGCGTAAGGATTATCTTTAGGATCTGTCACTTGACCAAAAGCTCAACTGGGAGGGGTTTACAAATAAACCAGGCCACTGTACTGCAGCGTTACAGATAAACAGAGATTAACAAAGGCTGTGATAACAGACAGAATGTTACTGACACACAAACATGGAGTACCCGCTATACCCCATGTTACAAACATTTTTGTTTTATCTCTCTCTCACTCTTTTTTTCTCCTGACTTTGGTCATTCTTTATCACTCTCACCTGTGACACTCTTGCGTTCAGAGCGCTCTAATTTGGACCTTTCTTCCTGCAAGTTCTGTTGCTTGCTTTCTGTAGATTTTATGCCCATTTGCAGCTGACTGGTGTACTTCTCATGCTGACATAGCAGGGGGCAGTTAACCAAAAAGAATAGATATATTAATATATATTACATAAAACATAAAATAGACACATATACACACAAACAGATGAAACCATACCTTGAGGGCCTCTTCAGGGACTTTATGTTGACTCTTCTCAAGAATATACACATGTGAATGTGCTCTTAACGTTAAGTGAACATATACATTATAACTTAAATGTATACAAACCTTAATGTATACAACTCTACAAACAAGAACATCTTAAGCAAGACCTCAAGGTTTCATGCCAAAAAACCTATAACAGCTAACCAGGAAAAAGGATATCATATCCAAAACGAACAATGTCCGACAGCTTGAGGGTTATGTATGTTTGGTCTGGAATTCTCAAGTCATTCACAAATGTCTGAAATTGGAGAAGAAAAACAAATGAAGATGTATATGTGCTTGAGATTCAGGAAGGCCAGAGTTATTATGCTTTTTCCAAAGCAGAAAATGAGAAAATGTTCCTTAGAAATGAGGAACATCACAGGAAATCTGTCAAGAGTTAACAACATTCAGAGTACAGAATGTATGCTTCTGTGTTCCGCAGAAGAAAGAAATACATACAGTTCCAGAAAAATATGAGGTGATATGAGTGATGACAGAATTTTTGAGTGAACTATCCCTTTAAGATAGTTTCCTATCCTAACCATAAAACATTTGTAATTGGGATTGGTCTGGTTCAAGGGTTGATTGATCATATCTGTACTGTTGTGAGTGCATCTGCAACAGTATGCCAAAGGCATATGTCCGTTACCTTTGTCCAGTTATTTTCTAAACCAAGGGGAGAGATCATCCAGTCTTTCCCAGATAACATAACAGTAGTCTGTAAATGCAGTCATGTTTTCATGCCTATATTCTGAGCTTCAGTCACATTTGCTATGTTGCTTACCCCATTTAAACTTCCAAGATCCTTGACAAGGTGTTCATCTGTGGCAGGGTTATAGTTGATAACAGCATGCTGTTTATCCACACTACGAGACTAAAGGAAGAAAAACATGTTCACATCCGACATCTTGCTTATTCTTAACCCTAACTCCATTGGAAATGGTAATGTTAGCATTGGTTGGATATTTACAATCATTAAACAAATCCCACACTTCTGCTTCGTGAATCTTACCTGTGTGTGGCTTGCAAGCACTGTGTGTAATAATCTGGCCTCACGGGGTACCACTAAAGTAACACAGTCTCCTCACAATGGGCACCAGTATGCAGCAGGCCTCACAGGAGGCACCAAATTAATATGGTGAGTTGTAGGGTGCGAGCTAGTTCCCGAGCTCATGAATCAGTAGATCGTGTACACGAATTCGGGCACTGCTAAGTTCCCTAATTCACTGCACGTTGACTTTGAGACAATGATCACTCGAATTCCAGTGAGTGACATGATTACGTACAATGTCAACGGACAACATAGTAGAACGTCATCACTGGAATTAATAAACAACATGCAGGACCAATTAAATTTTTATATTATTTTTTATTCTCTTTAAACACATCAATCTGTTATATGTTCTTACAACATTTCAGCCGAATATTAATTATAAATGTTAATTAGATGTGTTCAATTCCTGTCTAGCGATGTGTGTTTATGTTGAAATATACTAAAAAACGGTTTGTCTTTTCAAATCTTCTATCGCATTATATTATAATTATTATATTATTATAATTATATTATTTGAGTTGGCTCGTGTGGTTTATGTTTCACGCTTCATAAATGTGACGTTATTTCCGGTAAGGGAGCATAGTGAGCGCCGATGCTCCCTAGTTTTTGCGTTGCATTGCGGGATTTTTCAGGGAGCGAACGTTCCAGTGCACTGGAAGGATTTCGCGATTGAGACAGCCTTTAAAATGGCCGACTCCCTGATCAGTGCCCTGACTACTGAACAAGGGAGCTGACTGAGACGTACCAGTAGTCATATGTCTTTTAAGTTGAATATGAAAGTGTCAGTTGATTCCTTGCACATTTTCCTAAATGTCTGAACTGACACAATGTGGTATGGCACTGTCCAAGCTGTAAGCTAAGTACACCTGCACTGTTTACATAGTTCCTTGCATTGCCTGATTAACAGAATCCTCAACTTGTTCACTTGGTACCACATAGTATGAACGGATTCTTAGGGGCAAAGCTCAACTAAATCTTAAGTAAATAGTGCATTAATATGCAGACTAATTAATGGGAGTGGTCATGTTGAATGACATCCATTATACTGGCTACACTGTGGATGGTGCAGTTCAAGGGTCTGTATGGTGACAACCATTGTGTGTTGTGGGTTGTGAACTACGTAAACTCTGCAGCTACCTCTGAAGGGCTGTAGCACAGGTCCAATCAAACTATTCCTCCCTTTGGAAGGGTGCCCTATAAGGAAGACTGGCTGACCGGAACTGACAACAAATTAGAACAACCCCGACTATGATCTGCAATGCTTTACTTTACATGCAGCAAGTAAGCTACTTACAGTTAGCAGTCGATTGCTAACACACTAGAACTGATTCTAGTCTGCCAATTTTCCAAACCATTCATTCAGTTTCCGAAACAAAGACACGTTTCTCAAAACATTTAACACATTTCCCGTTTTCACACATGTTCCAATTTGCTCAGTTTTCTGCAAAAATCCACACAAAAATGTCGTCATTTTGCACAGGTTTACCAATTTTCTCAATTTAGAAAACACAGACACACAATATAATTACCTCAAGAATCACAATATGAACACAAATAGCACACATTTATCCATGTGTGAACATTAAGCAGCAAAACTGATGACACACCAGCCAGAATCTCAGAATAATATAAATAGGGTCACAGGTGATTATGTGCTTTGGAAAATGAATCCTACTAGTGGGAGACAAAGAGGAAGAGGAGAAAGGGTTGGTGTGAAAGAACATTTGTTCCTGATGAAATACAAAGCACTATAGTTGGCTATTTTCTTCAGCATGGAATGAGCATGAGGGAAGATGGCCTACAGGCTCATCTACAGGGATTTTACACTGTTTACACATACAATATAATCATAGTACACAGTAGCAGTACTTTAGATGAGAGAACTTTCACTATTCTATGTACAGTAAATACTGTAGCACATGTTGTACACCCTCAAATTCATAATAACTGTTTTGAACTGTTTGAATCTTTTCTAGTGCATTTCATCTACTGTAAGATCTCTTTACAGTAGTGTAATGAAAGTAAATTTTCTTAAAGCTTATTGCTGAATTTAACTGTATTTGCACCCCTCTATTTATGCTGCATACTGTAATAGACATTGACTTGCAAAATGATTCCTGGTTCCCAAAAGAAGCAACAATTAGTATTTTTTAAATAATCAAATATCAAACACAGAGATACAATGAATATATGCATATATTCCTGGATACAACTCATTAAAAGTCAAAACCAGATATAAAGTCAAAGCAAACAGGTTTCCAGAAACAGCAACAACTTTTGCACATACGAATGCCTTAATGAGTTTACTTTAAATAGTTTCATTATTAGAAGGTGTTCTTTCTGTCCCTAGAAGAGGACAATCATCAGGGCCAGACTTGGGCTAAAATACAGCCCATCTGGCTCACACGTTCCCCCATAAACATTTTGCTGGCTTAGGGCAATTGGAATAAATAAATGATTTATTATTAAATAAAGGACGGAAACAAATAATAGGTATTTTTGATTATACTGCAAATGCATTTAACAATATGAATATTCCTTAATATTACAAGCTCTTAATTACCGAATTAATATTTACATACTGGTAAAAAATGTATAGCCTGAATGCACTGTAAGTCGCTTTGGATAAAAGCGTCTGCTAAATGCATAAATTATTATGATTAAATTATTAATATTTTACTTCAATTAAAGTTTATTAGAACTATTACATTCTCATTTGTAGTTGCCCTAATGAAAAGCTATTGTAATTCTTGAATCCAGAATTAACTGTAGCATTAGTAAGATCATGAATCAGGCAAAAACTATGCTCCTCATTACTATGGTTTTATGGTTTCTATAACAACAACAAATGAAGAAGAAAACTATGGTATTTGTACTGAAAAATATTTTAAGCACATGAAACTAAAACAACCTCTATAAAAGTGACTTATTGCCTTTATATTACCCAATATTTAATATATGTATCCTATACTAATAGTGACATTAATAATAAATACCATAATTCCATATTTGTTAGTAACTGCATGGTAAATAGTGGTGCTGTGTGGACTGAAATGCTTGTATTTGTTATTGTTCACATATAATGTTATAAGTGTCGTGTGTCGAATTCAAATGGTTTAAGCATTGGTTATCACTTTAATGCAGTGGCGAAAGCGGCAAGCTCGTCAGCGTTGTGGGGGTGACACCAGTCCGGTCCAGCTGTTCTCACTCAATGTGCGGGTTAATCAGGTAGCGCCATTTCATTGACTTTTGGTGTTTGTTTCCCATGTGCTCCAGTAAAGCTGTGGCAATTAAAAGATACCCACAACACTATGTATATAAACAGGTTAAAGCACAACTGGGAAAAACCAATCAATCAAGGTCTACTTTTCCTTTCCTCAACAGCCAATCACAGGCTCCCTCCATCTATGGGTCCTGGGGCTTCTGTCCCGCCTAGCACTTATGTTAATCCAGCCCTGACCAACAGTACTTCAACATGACACAACACAAAGTACTACAGCTGTAGTGCAAGCTTTGTAGACCATTTTCTCTGTTTCTTACAGAAGATGATGTTTATATTCAATATTCAGCATCTTATTTTGCATAATTATTTGTACTTATACTTGCTAGACAACAGTTCTTGGTGCATTCACAAATGTGGTTAAGACATGCTTTTTTTACATTTCAGTGGAAGGGCAAATGAAAATCCTACCTGCAGCATTAACTCGCAGTCCTCCCGGCCAACAAAGATCATTTCCCGTGGCAGACGGTGACGAGTACCAGAGCTGCTGACCAGGAACCACGATGTCACGCTCATCTTTGTTTCTCAGAGAAACCCCTTTGCATCCTGTGACATAAAACAGAAAAACAAGACATGAAAGACTGTATGTTTGATGAGGAGAAATTTTATTTAATACTTTAATATCATAGGGAGAACACAGTCAAGTAAACTCCTAAATCATGTCAAATTACATGAGCTTATGATGTCATATTATATTAGTATGAATCAAACACTAATAGGTTAAAGGATAGGACAGTGCAGAAATTTCATTTAGCTTATTGTGTTAATGTCCATAAGGACATATTTCACATTATTTAGTTTTTCAGAAGTGAACTAAATAAAATTGGACCCAATCAAAATGTACCACAGTTCATTATAACACCAAGGTTAAATTCAATGCAGGGCAATTATTAGCCAAAACCACGTATTTACACCCTTAATGATCTTTTTGATCCATACTCAACAAAAAATCTGAGTCTATTCTACCTGAAAACCTTAGCTATTACAGGTTAATTTCATGAAAGTATTGAAATCAAATCCATCCTCATCTGTAATAAGCTGGGAATTAACCATCATATCTCCATGTTCCATTATACCAGTGAATGACAAAAGAATTGTGGGAAATTAAAGATAGATTTTAGACAGCACTGAGTGATCTGGTAAATCTACTGCATGTAATTAATTCAGGTAAGGCGTTAAGAATTCACCCTAATTGAAACTGTGAGCATAGTCATTATTTAATCCTCACAATTGTGCAGGACTTCATGTACCCCAAGACAGAGAAGTTCGGTTTGTGCAGATGTTCTCCAAAAAATGGATGCCTAACTGTTGCATATTTGCTGACAGTGTTAAACACATTATTAGATAAGACAGCTGTCTAGACATGTTACGTCGGAATAATATTTTTAAGAGGATTTTTCTTGAAAAAGTAGCCTACCTGTTTTATAATAATGAGAGAGGGGGGAAAGCTCGTAATTTAGATTGACACTGCAT